TTGTAAAAGGTTGTCTGTCTGTTAATGTTTTCCTCCTTTTATTTTTAAAATAAAAAAAATCCTATCACCATGTATTGAAATTCTGTATCGTTTTTATTGCTCTCTATGCTGTTTTGTTTATGTATTTGTTTTTGTTATGTTGGTTTTTTTACATTAATAACAAAATTTATATGTATATATAAGGATAGCTGGAATAGGTGTATTGCTGATGTTTGTGGTTTATTGAGAGGAACAGCCAGTGCTTAAAATTTTCTTTTTTCTTGACCAGTTTTACATGCTTGAATTTGGTAATCAGAATGACTGATCTGAAAACAATATGAAGCATAAGAACCATTGTTGAACTCCTACCATCTTGTATGGTGAAGCTGTACATCATTTCCAATGTTTTTAAATTACTTTATTTATTTATTTTACTTGTAATTGTCTTTGCTTGTTTGATCAATCTTACATTCTTATGTCTAATGCACTGAACAACTTCATTGAAAATAACGGCGTGTAATATAGCAATCATTGTGAATTTCTATCATGTTGTCTGGAGGTCATGCATCACTTTTTATGCTTTTGTGTTGTTTTGATTTTGTCTTCATTGTTGTTTTGTCAGGTTTTCTTTTTCATTTTTAAAATGAAAAAAAGCTGAGAATTTTGATCTGTGAATAATAAAATATAAATAAAGATGCTATTCACCACTTTGCCATGGAGTAGGCAGTTATCTCCTAAAAGAAATATTTCCTTCCAGATATAAAGAAAAACGTAAGATTTTATAATTATTAAAGGAACTTGATTATACAAAACCATAATAGACAGGACAAATAGAGTTGTTCTTTATGACTAGTTTTTTTGTCGTCCTGGGTGTAGATAGGTGTAGTGGCTCACTGCATCATGAAAAATTGTAGCTTCAGATAACTAAACTCTGTTTCTATGCTTAAGTTATTGTAGTGGATTGGTAACTGGTGGTCATCTTATAACCCCCAGCTGAACTGAGTAAGCATGGTGCTGGGTGTGGGAGGACCACTTGAAGTTTTTTGCCAGCAGCATAAGAGGCAGACCTGGAAAAGAAGAACTGAGGCTGTTGGGAGCTGGTAGAATTTGTAAGGAACTATTGGTTGTTTTGGAGGAGCTCCTCATGCTGGTTTTCCTGATTACCTTGGCTGTTTTCATCCTCCGAGGAGATCAGGGCCTTGTTAGTACTGAGAATAGCTTCGGTTTACTTTGGGGGAGCTCTGGTCCTCACTCTGAGCATCGCTTCCTGGCTCTGGTGGGGAAGATGGTTCACAGCTCAGTCTCCTGAAGAATCTTGCTGCATTGGCTTTCCTGATGGGAATTCAGTTGTCTTCACCACTGGAGGAGTTCCGGACCTCATTGTTGCTGAGGATGGCTGTGGTACCTTTGGGGAAGCTCTGGTTCTTTGAACATCACTTTCTGGCTCCAGTGCAGATCCCTCCACCTCCTAGCACAGATCCTTCATCCCGCTGGCACAGACTTCCTAGATTCCACCACTGACCTTTGGGACTTACCAGTGCAGATCCGTGAAACAGGCCTGCAGGACATATTGTTATGGGCTCTGGGCCTCCAAGTGGACTCGTGGGAGGCATTGTTATGAGCTCTAGGTCTTCAGCTGGACTCATACAGGGCATTTCCGTGGGATCCAGACCCTCAGCTGGATTCCTTGGTCTTAGTGTGTGGAAAGATTTCCTTCACTCTGTTGTAAGTCATTCTTTGGGTGATTATTATAATCGTATAAAATATGTGTCCTGTATTACATTGTTCTCCCTTGCAAAATATTCTCCAAACCAACAGTTATTGAAATTAAACTATAATTTACATTGAAAATTCCTTCAATTTTTAAAAATTATTTTTGAATGAAAAAAAATGGATAACACCAATGACTCTCTTCTTTGAATTACAAGCACATTACTGTTGAAATTATTTTATCCAATTAAAATTATTTTATATCTTTTACTGCAGCATACAGACACCTACTATAGAAGCCCTTTTATTCTTTAAAGTTTTAGCCTTCACTTTATTCAAATGATATTTATTCTTTGGTGAGCAAAATCAATTTACTGTTTTGTGATATTAGACATTTAGTGGCTTGGTTTGCTGAAGTTCCTTATGTAATTAGAGGAAATATTTAACTGTTTTTGTAAACACATTCATTTGTTTTTGGACTTTTCTTGACCAGTGAATTTACACATAAATCTATTTTACAAGTTTAAATGTATCACAGTCCTCATACTCTAATTCAAAATTAGGAAAACAGATAGAGACATGCAAGATTGATCAAATAATTAATCACTGACTGTTCCTTTGAGTAAAGCGATAGAAGTCACCAGTACAAGTCTGTTTGTTAATATGTATTCCTTCTTTTATTCTTAAAATAAATTTAAACGTATATCATATCAATATGATGATTAAGACTATGAACTCATATAAACTCATATTTAATGAACTTAAAGGAGCATTGTAAATGAACTGTAAGAATTAAACTTATCAACATCAAAGAATTCACTGGAAGAGATATTTTGACTTTTTTATATTTGGGTTTAGTGTAGAAAGTTTCGTTCATCTGTAGTCAATAAGTTTTCAAGTACAGTACTTGTAGCATAAGGCAGGAAATGTAATTTTAGAAGAAAATATTAGTCTTGAATTCATAGAAAAATTGGATTTAGTACATAATTTCACTGTTTCCTCAATTTTTCAACTTTTTTTTCTACCAAAATTGATCTTTGGGCTTATTAAATTTATACTGACTATTTTTTTTTCTTTTATGTGCTAGAATTACTCTTTTCTTGCACATCTCATTGATTTTTAAAGTAGAAAGTTTATATAACACTGTGTGGTAACTCTGAATAATGATCCCCCCAATCTGAGATTATTTGCTCTTCTTTTGTGTGAGTGTACATGTGTGAGTGTGTGTGTCTTCTTGTTCAGTAGTAGCAGATTATTCTTGTACAATTTCAACTGTAAAATCCTACACCATTTGTCAAAAAGTGGATAGTTTGTAGTCTGTTATGATTACTAAGTCTATGGGTGATCTACTGGTGTGCTGTTATCCAAATTATCCAGTGATCTCACTATTTAAAATCTTGATCTTTCCAAGAATAGCCATGGAATTGACTTTGTTTTGTTAACACAGTTGTGAAGGGAGTTTACTGGAACTACACCCAAATAAATTCTGGCCAAATAGAAGTCACAGCTGAAGGACTCTGAGGACAAATCACACTCCTACAAGTTGAAGAATTCATTTGACGTGTGTTACAGTGAACCATTGTGCGAGTGAAAATGTCAGCTCTATTGACAACTAAAAGCAGCCAAATTCCTTCCACAGAAGAAAACCTCAACAAATAGTGACTGATCCATGCAGCATGATACTGTGCAACAATAAACACTAGCTGCAGTACAGAATATGACAAAACAATCTTCTGTATTA